ACTTCAAATTAGACATGTAAAGTCTCAAAGAATTCGTGGATCGATATTAAATTTTTGGGAGATTTTTCATCCAAAATTTGATTCGGTTCATTATTCAAAATTCGGATTGATTTGTATTTTTGCTTTCGGTTCGATACAATTTTTTATTTTTGGGTGTTCACATCAATCTGTATTTTTCATTTTTGGTTTGGATCAATTCTGTACTAGTCCTCTTAGTCCATACTGGTGATATCAGTCCGTGCTGGTCATTTTAGTCCATACTGGTCACCTTATTCCATGCTGATCATCTTAGTCTGTACTGGTCATCTTAGTCTGTACTTTTTAATGCATACAACATTTTTGGATACATTCAAATTCAGAAATTCGAAAACTTTGGAAAATTAAATGCATCTGAATGTCTGAATTTAAAGAAATGTATCTGACTTTCAATTCGTAATGAAACAAAACCTCAGATCAGTTTTCCCTTTGCACTCATCCTGTATTATATGTAGGGATGCACAGATACTTTTCGAGTACCAGTGCCGATACTTGGCATTTTCATAAGAACTACCAGGGTTGCAGAGGTTGCAGCTGGGACCTGTCTCTGGCGCTCCACCGCTGTCCTAAAATCATTAGTCTGTATTGTTTTAGAAAAACTGTCACATGACAATAAACAAAAATCTATCAGTACTCGTACTTGTAAGTACTCGGCAAGGACTAGTACTCGTACTCGCAAAACTGGTATCTGTGCATCCCTTTATTTATATTCATAAAAACAAAACATACATTAAAACAGAGATGTACAAATCCCAGGAGCTCCGTGTGCTCCTTACAAATGACAGCGACCTCCTAATTTTTGAATTTTTCTCTAGTGTAGTCTTGAAGCTCAAAAGTATCTGTACATGTACTCGTACTTGTACCGAGTACTGTACTTGGTATCTGTGCAACCCTAATTATATGTATAGGCTGCAAAATCCAAGCCACAGTGTGAAGAAACCTATTAATGTATAGCGGAAAGCAGATAGCAATATCCACTCTTTATTATAAATTAGTCCTTAACCACTTGCTGTTTATACCCCCTTCTTGTCCAGGCCATTTTTCAGTGTTCAGCGCTGCAGTACTTTGACTGACATTTATTCCGTCATGCAACGCTGTACTGATATGAATTTCATACCATTTTTTGGGGACAGATAGAGCTTTGTTTTGGTGGTATTTAATCACCACTACGTTTTTTTTTTTACTATATAATGAAAAAAGTACCGAAATTTTTTTAAAACAACTGTTATCCCTCTGTTATGTTATAAAACATTTATTATTACCGAATTTTTTGGTAAAATATATAAAAGACAGGGTCACGTCGGGTAAATAGATACCAAACATGTCAAGCTTTAAAATTGCGCACACCCGCTATATCGCAAAATACTACCATACTCAAAATTGTCCACAGCAGATGCTTTAAAAGCTTTTACCACTCATCAGTTTAGTGTTATCAGTGATTGATGGCCCTAGAATTATTGCTCTCACTCCGACGTTCGCGGTGATATGTAACATGTGCGGCGCAATGGATGTAATCGTCGTTTTCGTACGTAGGCGGACTCGACGCATGTTTGCGTATGCATGTGGGGGCGGGGGACTTTAATTTTATTTTTTATTGCTTTGATATGTGACTTTTAATTTTTTTAAACCTTTTTTTTTTCACTGAACTTTATTGCTATCACATAGGGAGCAAACAAGCTCCCTATGTGATAGACAATTTGCAGTGACAGGTCCTCTTTTCCCCTTTATGGATACATCAGGGGTCTTTAAGACCCCTAATGTCACCTTGGGACCCCCAGAGAAGCTGATGAAGCAGAGACCTGCTTCACCAGCTTCTCTCCGGTTTCTGTACCGGAGAGTGACACTGAATGCAGGCAGTGATGTAATACACATCACTGCCTGCATTCCGAAGAGGAGGAGGAGATCAAACGGAGCTCGTGTACTGAGCTCCGTTTGACCTCCGGCCGCAGAGCTGCTGTGCCGGTCCTGGGCTCACACCGGGCGGAGCTCGAGATCGGCAGCAGCGGCAGAGGGGGCTGCACACATGGTAGAAGCGATCAGGCATCTCTACAGACGTCAGAACACTTGTATGTAAACAGTCATCGTTGGCTGTTTACATTCAAAGCCGATTTCCTGCTCATGCCCGCCGCCTAGCGGCGGGCACGAGCAGGACGGGATGGGACGTCTAAAGACGCCCACCCGCTCTCAAGAAGCCGCTGTCAAGCCGTTTAATTACAATGGCCGGACAGTAGGTGGTTAAAGGACATTTCCACCTTTCTAAGTGATTTTGAGTTTTTGGTGGTAATTTGGAGGTGCAGGTGGGATGTACATGTGTGTGCATTCTCAGGAGTCACAGGGCTGTTTTTCATACTTTATTTTATAGATTCTTTTACAGGCCAGAGGCTTAGAAGTTCAAAATTCCATCCATAACATCTTCAATCCGTCTCTCAGAGGGTCTGACTCCGTCTTACTGCTTCATGTTCAAAAACTAACTCACCAATCAAGCTCTATGTTTTCTGTTGATTTGGTTGAGAAACACACCATCATGAAACATTAAGTCAAGTCATATCAAATCAGTGTAGCTGGACTTAAAAAGTGTGTAGGTTTGCACTCCGTCAGCACCATTTGTCGATGATAACAGTAAACCCAACCCTGATTTATCAAAACTATGCCATCATGCAGACTAATCTCACAATCTCACCCACGTGCACATTACCCAGTTATAAAGGCAGGCACACAGATACATGTTGAATGATCAGTTGGCATTTCAGGTTATCTGATAGCGAACTCCTGCATGCATGCAGAATATAGCAGCATGAATATGAAGTACTCCATTTATAATAATCAAATAGATATTTTATTGGTATAACAGAGTTGCGAGTTTGCAAAATGCTACAATTACATATGCATATAGTACTTAAAATTTTTAAATTACTAATATATTTTTTTGTTAAGTAAATGTGAGGTTCTAATAAGTAATAACACATGCAAGAAAATAAATTGCTCATTCGTTTTGATTGCTGAAACATGCACAAATACGGTAGGGTGTAGGCTCCAGAAACTACCAGCTCAGTAGGGGGAACTGATTAAACAGTAACTTCCAATAGTTAGATCTATAGACCCTTATTATTAAACATACTGTTTTAAGCAGAGAGAACTCAATGAGATACTACATACTCCACACCACATCTTGTATTTTATGTATAGGCTGCAAAATGCGAGCCATGGTGTAAAGTAACCTAGCATTGTATAGCGAATAGCTGTTAGCAGTATACACTCTCTAAAGGGCTTTAAGGACAATTTTTTTTATTCACACTAGTTTTCAGCACCAAAGTTTCCACACGTTATTCTTCTGCTTTTGGTGGCAAAAACTAACTCAATAATATGTACGTCCAAAAGTAGGATTTTAAGTGCTTTGTCACTGCCTTTTTAATAGCATTTTTTTTTAACCAAAGGCACTTTTTATTATGTCCAGATATTAACATAAAGTGTAATTTAA